AGATGGCATGGATCTTCAAATTCAGGTGTGCATACCCTTTTTTTTTTAGATTTGTTCCAGAGGCTGATACCATTTCTGACAATTCTGATTAAAAATGCAGTAAGTTTACTTCATGACGTCGATAATCATATTGTAGAGCAGTTTAACTCAATCATAGCTAAATTCATTGGGGGTAAACGGATTAATTATTGCAAGAAGAGATCCTACCAAGGAAGATGTGCTGCAGCCGTAGTGAATCACAATACACAGCGGCCTGTTTGTGTGATCCAAAAGCGGCTACTCCCTAGTTTCAGTCCAACCTCTTTGATTGCTAAAGATGAAGAAAGGAGAGCGCACAAAAATCTGAAAAGGAAGCTGAAACCAATGAAGATTAAAATCAGAGATAGTGATACTAAAGAGATATAGAGGCTGCTAAGGTAGAATTCTTGAAAACACTTGCAAAAACCGACTCCGAAATTTCCCAGATCGAGCAAGCCACAAAATCTCAGGATTGCAATTTGTGGCGTCTTCATCGAAGAATGAGGTTGACTGCGTCTCGGTTTGGTGAGGTTTGTAGAAGAAGAGATACAGCAAGTTGCAGAGCTCTAGTAAACGCCATAATATACCCAACCGAATTCTTTAGCAAGGCATGTGACTATGGAAAAAAACATGAAAGCGTGGCAAAAGCAGAAATAGAGAAATCATATTCGCAATCAGAAGTACAATCTTGCGGGTTGTTTATTGATAGAACCCATCCATTTCTGGCAGCATCGCCAGATGGTTTGATAGGCGAAAAAGGTCTGCTAGAAATTAAATGACCATGGTCGGCTAAAGAAATGACCCCTGAAGAGGGCATTCTGAACAAAAAAATTACGTTTTGGATAAACGATGAAATAAATAAAAAACATAAGTGGTATTACCAAATTCAAGGGCAGCTACACGTTGCACAAAGAGAGTACTGTGTGCTTGGTGTTTGGACCCCGTATGGTTTGAAAATAGACGTCATTCAGAAGGATGACGTTTTCTGGAAAAATGAAATGGAAGAGAAATTGAAATTCTTCTACATGAACTGCTTGCTCCCAGAACTGGTCGATCCCAGGAAAAGCATAAATATGCCAATCCGCGATCCCGATGCGATCTTGAAGGCACAAGAGAACCGTTTGAACAAGAAAAAGAATTCTTGAGAATTGGCTATTTTTGCTGTACTCGGGTACCCAAATGGAAGAGATTAGCCTATTACATTGTACGCCGTTACTAACCCCTTCATGTCGGCAAATGCGGTGTGCAGATCTCGCATTAGCAGCGATGTGCGAGATGTTATGCTAATCTCTTCCATTTTGGTACTAGTACCAGATGTTCACTATTTATTGTATATTTTGTATATATTGTTTATTTAAATAAAAGTCGATCATCAGGCTCAATAGCACGTAGCATCGGCTAGCTTTATCTAGTCTGTTAGATGGCGAATATTGAAATGTCACATTGACACGTTAAGCGCCACAGTAGTATCTGAAAATCCAGTCCACTGGGCCAAACTGTTATTATTGTCAAATTAGCTTGTTTTAAGTTTCGGTTTAATATTTTTACTTGACTTTTTTCTCAAATCCTATGATTTTTCCCCTTTTTTGATTTTTGTTTCTGAGGTACTAGTTGTATGTCGCGTGGCCCACAGACCAGTCGGGTCGCGTGGCACATAAGTCGCGTTGCGTTTTTTGCAAGTCAAGACTTGCATCATGTCGCGCGTTGAGCACTGTTTCGTGTCATTTATTATTAAAGCGTTGTTGGTATTGTACGTCATCTTGTCCAAATTGCTTTACTGTTTATAAACTATTGAATACCAAATTTAGTGATGTCGCATTACGAAGCGGAGCAAAAAAGGCTTGAACAATTGTGTAATGAAATACTATGGGATGAAGAGAGTGGCAGTACTGAGTTATGTGGGGATGTATACTTATCTGATGCGTATTCTCCAAGTGGTAGTGAATCAGATAGTAGTTGTAGTAATTCCATATTTATCTGTATTACTGTTTATTTATACCGTTATTTTGTTTATTCCTGCAAAAGACTTTGTCAATCTGTTTAGTTTATAAGAGTTCCTCCATATTTGTGTTCGTTAGAATATCGACATTTACCATAACTTACTGATTTGCTGTAAAATTACTTTGTTCATTTTTGAATGAGAATGTCTGAGTATTTTATAAGATTTGCTTTATGTTTTAGATTTGTAGAATATCCTCTTTTTGTAAAACTCTATAAACAACTTGGTTTTTAATGTTTTCATTTCCAATTCATTATAATTTGGTCCCTCAGGCCACGGACTCTTGGTTCCCGTAAGAAAATCACATCAGCATGGCACACGTCTTACGTTACGCGGCCAAATATAACTGCCAGCAATGGGACATATCATGTGTGTCACGAGGCCCAAAGCGCCAAATGAGGTGCGACACACGCATTATACTTATCTCATGACGCTTATCGTGTTAAGTTTATTTTACGATACTTCATAAGATTAAAGCTAAACAGCAAGTGACATTTTATTTGTGTTAAATGCGTTCAATATAATTATTATTTTTAACTAAAAAGATTACCCCCTCCAATGACCCTGGAACCACCTGGAAACTTTTGGTCACAAAGTTCTGTATTTTACCGCACATGTCAAGTCTTTTCATTTGATATGTAAATTGGGGGTTTTGTACAAAAATATGTAACTCGCAATTTCGAAACGGCGGCAATCTTGGAATCAAATTTTTAGTGAAGGACTGTATTCTACAAGGCGACGACTCTTATTTGAGATATTAGCAAGTATGTTATCCGCCATTTTGTGACGGCCGCCATCTTGATCTGAAACTGTTTTCGTATTACTGTTTTGTACAAGTGCTTCCATTTGATATCCATATTGGGGTGATTGAACAAAAATGATTTTTTGTGGTATCACCTCTAAAGCATGGCCTATTGTATAAAAAGAAATGATCAAAATCGATTATAAATTTCCCCTCTTTCATTGCAGTCTATTAAAAATGTCACTTACTGGTCCGATGTTTATCTCGAACGACCGACGTCAAAACTGCTACTATTTAACTTGGGACAACAAATTATCTGAATACGTCCTTTCTTAGTCCGTACACACCGCCGCGTTGCTTCGACTGGCAGCACGAGATAGTGGATAAAATTCGTGTAAAAGCCTATTTGCAGAGGTTTTCGCGCTTCAAAATTCACGCTTCATTTTTGAATATTTTCCAATGAAATTTTCACAGTGCACTAAAAACAAGACTCCACAGGGTGCTATAGAGCCACTTTTTCGTTTTTTCCTCTGGGTTATTTTTAAAAAAATCGAGAAGTCGAACAACAATTATTTGCACTTCCACCCACCATAACTCCTGAAAAAAATTTTTTTTTAGAAAAGTGGCTCTATAGCACCCTGGACAATTGTCTTCTGAACATACTGTATAAATTTTATTCAAATATATAGAAAAATGGAGCGTCAATTCTGAAGCAGCTAAACCCTTGTAAATGGCCTGAAACTCACTGCGTCGGAGCCGCCTTAAAATATATAAAAAAAAACAAACTTGACTTTTTTTTAATCGTGTCCCTGAAGGAATTTTTGATTGTATCCAAAATCATCAGAAAAGAAAAAAAGATGAAGTCAAATTTGAGGGAGTAGATGTGACAGGGGAATAATGATTTTTTTTGACGAGTCATCGATAAGTCGGACAGCCCTCGTCTGGACAGCATCGAGCATAAATAATGTAGTCTGGGCGGCAGAACCCCAAACGTGTGAGCAATTCTCGAGGCTAGGCCTTATCTGGGCTGTGTAGTGAGTGAGAAGGTCATGCGGAGAAAAACACTTCTTATACCTAAACAAATAGCCTAGCTTTTTCCCAGCAGCTGCCGCTATTGACGAGATGTGTTCGTGCCAGATCAGGTCCTCGGTGATCTGGACTCCGACCAGCCGAAAGGGATGGCTCTTTGGCAGAACTCGGCAATCCATCGAAACCGGATGAGCGCTATGACGCTTTTTGTTCGTCAAAGTACAGTACTGTGTTTTGGAAGCATTGAACTGTACAAGATTGTTGCGTCCCCAAGCAATGATAGCCTCCAGGTCTGTTGTCACAGAGAAAGTCGTCGCTAGTCTTCTTCTTTCCAGCTCAGCGGCAGAGATCGGCTTGTCACTCTGAATTCCTGCATGTAGAGTGCTGTCATCAGCGAAGCTGTGGATTGGGTTGATCGTGTAGGAAAGGAGGTCGTTTTCTGGGAGGCCATAGGATGGAAGTTTGCTTAAAAGAACAGCGTGCCACAGCTGATCGAACGTTTCACCAAGACTGGGGATGAGTTTACTCCACAATTACGTGACGTATGCTAGGAGATGGAGATCCCCTGTAGATCGCTGGTGCCGGAAACTATACTGCCTGTCACTACTCAAGCTGTGACGTTCGAGAGCTCGTGGGTCGGTCTTTGATCCCTTTTTTGGGATGGGTTGGACATGAGCAAAATTTCCAGTTTTCGGGGAAGGTGCCGGATTCATATGAGATATCTGGAAGAGACTAGAAAAAAAAACAACAAAATACGGCTGTATACCTGGCGTTGATGGGCCCATCAGAATAGTGTGTCTCTTGTCGATATGGGGAATTTAGAAATATTACTAGATAATCAGCTGTTATTCTACCGAAATAGATACTCGTGGAATAGACATTACCATGACACCACCACATCTATCCCTGACGAAATAAGAACAACCCGTGTTTTGGATTATTTTCTCGTATCTCTCTCTAATTTATTCGCATTGTCTGACTTCTCTTGGTATAACTACTCTTTGGTACTGCTTTAGCGAACATTTAGGTGGCAATATCGCCCACTCGTCCGCTTCAAATCGAAAATACCCGGTAAAGCGCCGCATCTATTTCTGGGCGCATACGAAATGCATAATATTTCTCCTGGCCTGGCGCAGCAGCGATGACTCGGCATGACACGATGCTAACGATGCCGTTACGAAACTGTGTCATTGGGTCAAGTGCATTTAAATAATGCTGTTCGTCGCGCTGGCACAGCGCAGCAGGCTGCAGCCGGATCAGCCACTCGCAGATAAGGTGGTGGGAGGAGCATTCCGCAGTTGCATTATAAATAGCACTGGAGGCGGTGCATGTTTGTATGAGATTATGTGTTTGTTACACAATTTTTCCCATGGTTAGTTAACTTACCCTATAATACTTCTACGTTGCCACCAAACTTTCGGTTTCGACCAGTTTCGGTCCAAAATCAGAGTTTCGGTTTTGTATCGGTTTCTGCAGAAAATCCGCCTAAACTGCAACTACGTTCTCACTTACAGATCATTGAGGAATTCCAGTTCAGGCTCAATTTCAGGCAGAATATTCAAAACAGTTTGTTTGTAGAGACTAAATTTCTTCAAAGATGCTATAGTTACGGAAATAATTTTTGTTTTTTTCTTCTAGAAAACCGCTATTAATTAGTGCAAGGATACCTACATAAATCATCATTTAAAATATCATCATGGCCAATAAAATCCATTTTTGGAGACTAAAAATGAATTCCACGATCCTTAAACTAAACACAGTTTACATAATTTTAAACGAGGATAAGTATTTATGCAATAAAATTCTCAAATTAAATTAGGCTTCCGTATAAACTAATTGTTAAAGAGTATTAGTAGAACAGGCAATAAGTTGTTATTTTTGTTTTATTGTATTTTTTACGAAATGTTGGAAACAAAAAGACAGCACTTTTTGTGTTTTAAGTGACAAATTTAGTACTGTTTTAGTTTTCTTTAAATTAATTAATATACTAAGTGACATATAAATCCGAACACCCAGTTTAAATGGTTTTATTTTAATAAAATTTTGTATAAGTACTTAATGAAGCATAATAAGTAAATGATAAAAATTTCAAAATGATTGCACTGCTTTAAAGCCCTTTGACCTTTAATAATGTGTGGATGCAGCCTGATGTGCTACGCATTCTCCAACGCGCCTAGGCATGCTTCTGATCAGGTGGTCAATGTCCTCCTGTGGTATCTCATTCCAGGCAACCACCAACTCCTCTCGAAGTGCTTCTAGAGTCTGAGGAGGACGTTGCAAATTGAGCAATCTCCTACCCATCATATCCCACACGTGCTCAATTGGGGATAAGTCGAGAGATCTTGGTAGCCATGGTAACAATGTGACATCATTATGTTGAAAGAAGTCTATTGTGACTCTTGCAACATGTGGTCGGGCATTATCTTGTTGGAAAGTTGAATCTGCCAGGGTGTCAAGATAGGGTAAAAGATGGGGTTCTAGAACTTCGTGGATATAACGCTGCGCGTTCATGTTACCTCTGATGAAGATTAAAGGTGACCTGGAACCATAAGCTATAGCACCCCAAACCATAACTCCAACAGTGTGATGAACATGTCTTTCAACAAAAAATTGTGGATTCCTCCTTTCACCACGTCACCTTCTAACCCTGGCACCACCATCGTGCATGCCTAAACAAAATCGAGACTCGTCACTAAAGACAATACTGTTCCATTCCTGATCCCAGAGTGACCGTTGTCTGCACCACTCAAGGCGATTACGTCGGTGTTCTCGAGTTAAAGGGAGGACCCAGTGTGGCCGGTATGAAAACAAGCCAAAACTTCTCATTCGTCGGTAAACACTTCGCATGCCAATAGGTCTTCCGTGTTCTGCAAACCATTCATTTGCAATGGACCTGGTAGTGGAGAAACGGTCCCTTAAGGCCAATAATCTTAGGCGGCGATCTTCACGGTCTGTTGTTCTAGGGCGGCGTCCAGTGCCCCTTGCTCTTTGCGTACGGCCTTCACGAAGCCATGCCTGACAACACCTAACCACAGTGTCTACACTTCTTTGCACTCTAACTGCAATTGCCCGAAAAGAAGGTCCAGCTTCCCGCAGTCCCACTATACGACCCCTATCAAACTCACTAAGTTGACGAAATCGTACAGGTCTCCGTACTCTAGGCATCGTAACCGATCGTAAAGGATGTCAGGAACCAAAATCCGCCAACGTTGATTCTTTACTGCGGCTGAAATATTCATTTTTAGAGCGTTAGTGAATTAAAAAAAAGCAGTATAAAAACCGGAATATCCAACTGATAAGGCTGAAAATTTTTTCACTTGTTATTTACAGTAAGATAAATACATTCACCAACTTTTATTAAAATAAAACCATTTAAACTGGGTGTTCGGATTTATATGTCACTTAGTATAGTATGTGATGAAGAATGATTGTTACATATTATACAAAGCTTGTTTTCTTCTTTAATAATAAACTGCTATTATTATTACTAATAATAACTGATTAAGACTGAGTTCGTTTTTTGGGATACACTATCATCTTCCCATATCCCGCATCATACTTCTCAGTTAGGACCGCAATTTCGGATTCGCTTTGGGCTGAAATACAAATTTCGGTCGGACACTAAACTTCACGTTTGGGTCATTCAATTGGAGTCACCTTTGCACTTTGTCGTATGTATATATGTACATTTAGTACTGAAAGCGTGGCATGCCCGTATAGTTTCCATGATCTCTTTAATAATTTCTCGAGGTACTGTGAATGCGAAAATTTAAAAAACAAAACAGATACAGGTTTTTTGTTTTGCGATGTCTACAGCAAGGAAATCTATGTAAGGACATAGTAGATAATACCGCTTTATTTTTGAAAATTGTTTAAATGGCAATGATGTTATGAGTACAAATTAAAATAGCTTCCAGGTCTTATTTGCATGATTTATAATTTTATAAATATGTCTAAGGGTAATCACACATCTTTTTGGACAGGTCAAAATTTTTAAAAATATCAAAAATTTGATTTCATCGGGCATATTCAAAAACGGTATTGAGCTCAAACATTTTGTTTCTCAAGCAAGACTTATGTTGACTCACATTTGAAAATACGCATAGTTGAATTCTTGGGAAGTACCGAGTCAATCTACTTGCTACTATTTTTTCCGATTTTTTTTATTAAGCCATCCACACCGAAAGACGATTTTACTGCCTCTGAAGACAGTAGGTACCATGCTTGTTAGTGAAAGTTGCCTCATAGTCCTGAGATATTTTAATTACTTTTAATTTCGAAAAGAGGGTTAAAAATAGAAAGAATGCTACTATCACCTAGCCCTACAATCTAAGGTTCAGCACTTGAGGATTTTTAATTTAACGTACGGCCTCCATGAGATTGTGAAAAACACTTTACGCATTTTTCATTCGTACTGTCGTTTTGCCCCTGATGCTAAGGGTGTTTTTGTCCGCAACGAAACTTCTTGATGTAATTTGTTTGAAAAGATTGTTTAGACAAATTTGCACCGAGTTACCGTCGGGGAACCTTAAAAATATATCGCACAACAATTATCTCGTTATATTCCAGAGCCCGTAAACAAATCGCAATATATATGGGCATAATACCATATTTTGAGGAAAGCGAATAAAAAGAGCACCAAACTTTCATCCCTCTAGTCAGTAATCAATTATTCTTCTATCTTCACTTTCCATGCGAGTGCACATCGCAACCTTACCCTACATTTTAGGCTAAATAGGCCAAATTGATTTACACTTAAGAACGTCCAAACAGTGAAAAAGAGGGTGAATGACTTACCATCGCAAAAAAGGGTGACGTCATCCCAGCGTATACAATACTACACATCAACGCAAGTCCCGACGAGATGAGTTTGCGCTTCGCATAACCATTGATTTACGCAGTGTAGATACTGGTAATATTGTACATATTGTATATACTTACTGTACACATTATACTTACTGTACATATTCTATTAAGATAGCCAACCATATACTGTATTCCGGCACCAAAAGTGGTGTCAAGTAGGTGGACCCTGCACTTCCTGAGACCCTAAATATTTCAAAGTAGATATCTAATCAGTGTGGAGAAGAGAAACATAGCTATGACAAATTCTCATCGATGTATATAATCCAATCTCGGATATTTTTTGGACGTGGAAATATAGTATTAGGTTGGCTATCGTTACTGGTCGCAGACTATGCAGTACACGAGTGGTGTGATTTTTCATTATGTACACATCCGAAAAACATAATATCTCGAAGTTAAACGACTTACCATCGCAGAAAAGTGTGACATCAGCCAGGCTCTCCGATTTGAACAAGTTGCTGAACGAGGTGGCGAGATTCGAACCGAAACTGTTCCATTTCAGGCAAAACTGCTGTTGCTGAGAGTCCATCTCAACACCAGAGTGGAAAAAATTTTGAGCTGTAACAAAATATTTCTAATTAGTAGAGGTAGTTTGATTCCGCAAAAGAACTGTGGAAGAAACAAGGTACAGACATAAAAATTAGCAAAGCGAAATTTAAAATCTCAAAACTAATGTTTGCTATATTTCATGCCTATTTTGCAGGGAACGTTATTAGGTTGTTCAGCTCAATGACAAAATTCTTAATGCTGTCATCTTTTTCCAAAAATCCGTAAATTGCTCCTTAAAATAATGATGAGTGGAATACTTCGAGAACTTTCTATATAGATGATAAGTCTGGTGGTGTATTTTATTTCGTCAAAGACTTTAACATTGCTATTATCGATACTTTTTATCATATACAAGTATCTACGAAATTAAGCAGTTACAATTGAAAAGTACAAAATATCCTTAGCGAAGATCCCATTGGGCCTTAGTGTCTGCGTTATGTTTAGGAACTCCATTTTTTCTTATGTACGACCGACCACATAATGCAACCACAAAGATTGAAAAAATTGCTAACATTTCAGCCACAACCATGTGTCGGATACACTATCCAGATATAAAACATATAAACTTGTTATATTCTATCGAAACACTCTGAGGCATACAGAGTCTGTGTTCAAATTAGGATCTGTTATTATTTCACTTACATGAAATATATGAATTGAACTGTACGATGATCTGTTTCATATTATTACAACATTAAAACATTTGAACTACCTGTGGTTTTATGATATATTTTACAATAAGTTTTGTAATTTGTATTATATCTAAAAGCTATTAACGTTTCTGCGTCAGTTAATAACTGCTGCAGCTATATAATGCACTGAATGTTCATAATATTCTAACATCAAGGTTTTTCACATGAGCTGTCTTAGTGTGGAAGTTAAAAATAGTAACATTTTAGCAATTAAATCTTACCGATAATAATTATCGGCAGGAATTTATTTTCAAGCTGGTACCACTTATTAGCTATAAAGTTTTTAATTTGCCTCCTGCGAATTAACAATGAGAAACTGGCAAGGTGTAATGAAAAAATACGCTGAAGCAGCCTTTTTAGTTGCAATGGTGTTAAACTTTCATAATAGTTTTCGCTCAGCTTGAAGCTATATTTAAAGCTTATTTCATTATGCTTCTCTAGTAACGGGTAGTAGATGGAGTCGCATTTCGAGGTCCTACATAGAAATGAGCCGTTTAAAATCAAAATTTTTTGATTAGCTCTTTAGTCCTGGAAAATCTATTTTAGAAACTTTAAATATGCCAAATCATGCCTCTGTAACATTTCAGTTTTTCAGTCTATAATTGAGATTATGATAAATTTGGTTTGGTTCACTAAACTTAAGCAACCGTTTTGCGACTGTTCAAATTCAAATTTCTTTTATTGCTAACTTAAAATGACAAAAACCTAGCAACATTAAACATAGATTTCCGTGGAGGCGACGGCACAGTATGTTATACAGGGTGGGTCATAAGTCCTTTGAAATTTCAAATTTGAATAAAATTTAACGGGTGAGCGTGAGCGGCGCGGGCGAGGTGGGGGCAGTATCTTCAGTGTCTGGGAATTCAGTCGCCATGGAGTGTTTCACTGGAGCGGATCGTGCTTTTTGTGTGCGCGCGTTTTATCAAAATAATGATTCGGCAACCATTGCGCGGCGTAAATATCGAGAATACCACAATTTACACAATTTTACAAAGTGTCCAAGAGCTCAAACGATTAAGAACTGGGTTGCTAAGTTCGAAGAGACTGGTTCGACGTTAGATAAACAGCGGTGTGGTCGACCAAGGACAACTCGTATTGAAGAAAACATCAACATTGTGGCACAGTCTGTTCGTCAAAATCCTACCCAGTCTACTCGTAAGCGTTCCAGTGCACTAAACGTACCCAGAACATCTTTACAGCGGATTTTAAGGAAAGATTTACGTCTGCACGCTTACAAAATTCAGTTAGTGCAGGAATTAAAAGATAATGACGCTATTCAGAGACTAAACTTTGCGAATGAAATGTTGAATCGATTTTCTTCGCTCAATAATGTGTTGTTCTCGGACGAGGCTCACTTCCATTTAAACGGGCATGTAAATAAACAAAATTGCCGTTATTGGAGCGCCGAAAATACAAGGCGTAAGCATCAGAAGCCCTTACACAGCCCTAAAGTTACAGTTTGGGCTGCTATGTCAGCGCATGGCATCGTAGGCCCTTATTTTTTTGAGGACGACAGAGGTCGCGCATTAACTGTTACTTCGGAGCGGTATGTAGCAATGATAGAAGAGTTTTTGACACCAGCGTTGCAGAATTTTCCAGGCTATAATACGCAGACCTGGTTTCAACAGGACGGAGCAACTGCCCACACCTCCAACACTTCTATGCCAGTCGTCTGTCAACTTTTTCCCAGCAAAGTAATTTCTCGAAGAGGAGACATTTCCTGGCCACCACGTAGTCCAGATTTGACCCCAATGGACTTCTTTTTATGGGGCTACCTCAAGAGTAAAGTGTACGACAGCACTCCGCGATCAGTTGATGTCCTGAAAGAAAATATCCGAAGAGAAATGGCAAGCATTACAGTGTTGACTTGCCGCGCAGTCATCGACAATTTTAGACGTCGTTTATATGATTGCCGTGATCGTAATGGATTGCATTTAGACGATGTGATTTTTAAAACATAATTCCCATTCAATAAAGATGATAACAAAATATAATAATTCTTCATAATGTAACTAGTTTGGTTTTATTCCTTTTTTTCCAGCTCAAAGGACTTATGGGCCACCCTGTATAATAAAATGTGATGAATATAAAACTGATATTTAAAACAAAACAGGAATTTCATTACGAAATTACATATTTAAATAAAAGTTAAAATCGTACAAGCACATATGTTTGATAGTTCCTTAATTGAAAGTGGCCAAATTGGGTGCACTTTAAATGTTGTGTCGTAATTACGCCATATGCCTTTATGGAAATTGTATAATGGCCCCTTCTTGAAAAATCTCTCTCTAAAAAAAATATAACACCTGTTTGCCAATGTCTGCCCCTGTGGAGATACTTTTCTCTTTTCGGAATATGATGATAAGTGCCCATAAAAGAAAAATTAGTGATGAAGTGTTTGACAAAATGGTTCTACTTGTCTCAATTAAAACCTTAAGAGTATGATACTTTGTCACATTTGTGTGATCAACGCGTAAATAATTCATGTAATAAAATAAACTCAATAAAATTCAATTTTCTTGTAAAAGTATTTTATCATTAAAAAGTATTTAAAGGATACGTATTTTGTGTCTAGTATTTCAGATTTCAGATACCATTCCAGAAAGTATTTAGTATCTGATGAACGAAATACTTATTTTGACAGTATCTCTAAAATAATTCAGGCAGCTTAGCTTTACCTCTGTTACCGTATTTACAGAGATTCAGAAGAATCTGAGTCTTATCAATACAAGAAACCATTTTGGGAGAACCTTGGCATCCTCCTATGTAAGAGGAAGTTGGGTCGTTCTTCAATGGTTCGAGATGACTGATAGTCTAACACCAAGTTATCCCTCAGGTGAAAGCACAAGGTTATGACTAGTTTCTATGGAAGATAGCAGCAAAACTATTAGCGTATATTCATCTGACAGCTTCACATGTTTCCTTAACGTGCAAACTACCCGTATCGTTGTAATTAGCGAACCCAACAATCACCCATTATTCCTATCAACAGCCAACACCAACCATTCAGTATGATAATTATCATTTACTGGAGCGACAGTTGACGACAACGTTACATAATTACGATAAATAACAATAACGGTGCTAGTTCTATGAACACACACACTCCGTCTGATGTTTACGAACTATTGCAACTCGTATGGACGTAAACAAGAGACATCATTCGAAATGTATTTTCATTGCCAAGTCGATCGCCTTGAAGCAGAGTCGCGTCGCGGTAACGAAATCGCACTGAGGCCGACCCTGACGCGACGATACGCATTTCCGGTGTTGCCAGATGGAACGCATATTTACCGGGGTCTGCTGAAAATAGTGTTCGTATAGTTTCTCCAAAAGATAAATGATTAAAACAATATGACTTTGATTGGTCTACGTCCAGTGCTGCCAGATAAATTTAAAAATAAGTGGTAGATGTTAAAATTGATGGCAATGGACCATTGAGAAGCAGCTTAGCTTCTGAGCTTCATGAAGAGAGCTATTGCTGCTGCTGATAATTACAGAGCGGGAGACGTACTTCTTCCATCTGAGCTTTTTGTTGAAAAATATGATAGGCCTGCGCATCCAGGAGGGGGGTTGACGAAAATTTTCTACAATAAAGAGCGGTAGAGATCCAGCGTTGTACGGTAGAAGGGGAACAGAAAACTTAAAACGGTAGATCTAGGACTAAGATTTTTTGCAGTCATTGTTTGAAATGAATCTGGTGTAATCGATGAGGTCGCGGACGACGATATAGAAATCACTATTACCATTCAAAATGGACACGGTAACGAAGCTTGACTGCATTGGTCCTTGTAAAAGGGAATGCCTTTGTGTTAATGGAAAAGCGGCCGGAAGTGTGGAGCATGAATCCGCACTTGTACTAAAAACATATTTGATAATTTTGTTAAAGTTTATGAATTGAGTAAAGTTGGATAAGTTAGATCAAAGTCTCCCTACGGTCAATGGTAGTAAGAAGAGGTTTCTAGGGACGCAAGGAAATAATTATCATCCTGTCTCAGGATCTTATGGGTAACCTTTAAGATTCTTGAACAACAAGACGAAGAAGAAGCTGATCTATTTTGCTTCGATAGTGTCCTGAAGTATGTATCCCACTCACTGAAAACGGAACAATAATCACTGCTATAGTTTTAAGGAGGTGGTTCTGAATAAGCCGTTCATTGTCTCATTAGCTGTTTTAATATATATATATATATATATATATATATATATATATATATATGCAGCGATCACCTGTGTTTGGCTGTTGCCGAACTATTCATACATTTACAGAATTTTCCCATATTTATTCAAGTTTCGTCATGCTAGTTTCAGTTGGAATAAACCTTATTTTCATTTGTTACATATTTTTCTTATGAATCTATGCTTCCCAATATTCATGTTCTTGTTTGTCTAATCTCTGACTGAGCAGTCATTGTTTTATGAACAAAAAAGTCTATTCTGCCACTTTTTGTCACATCCGGCAACACCGCGCACACGCTTCATCAGTCATTCCGGATTCGGCGACAATGACAGCATTGACAGTGTCCTTTATTATTTGCAAGGCCATACTGATAATAAAACGCGCACTAGAATAGGCAAGGATCACATCCGTGAAAACGAGTAATCTACACACACATCAAAATACCTGAAGTTTCCTTCAAGAATCCAGCAACCTGTACACTCAAGAGCGTAGATTAATTCATTTCCCGGCATTACAAGCATCCCGACAAAACATTTTCTTACTTTTCCATGATAGCTTTGAATGTTCACGATTTTTCTATGTTTAGCTCTAGTATCCCTAAATAAAACTCGCAGTAGAGTAGCCACCAAACAAAACCGCACGGGTAAGACCGTAAAAACAAAGTGGGCCAATTTCAGCAATTCTACGATTTTATACCTCTATTCCGGCAACATCGCAATGCACACGTTTCCTCACGCACCGCACATAGGATTCGGCGGCAATGAATGTCCTTTACTTTTTGCAAGGCCACACATAGGCCGCAGTGATATTAAAACACGAACTAGGATACAACAACCATGTCAATAGAACGCAACCCTAACATTACCTGAATTTCCTTTAGAATTTTCGTCTCGCGCAGATTTCCAAATAATAATCCTGTACTTTAACTCGAATGCACATGTTTAGATCGCGGCCGTGTCGCGTTGCGGATCAGCGCCGCTGGCTTTCGGCGTCATCGCAGGAGGCACGGACGGATATTTTCGCGAGACTGAATCACCGAATTACCGACGAACGAACGAACCAGCGTCGTGCCTCACGCAACTGCACGCAACTCGCGACGCCCGACGCCTCGCCGCTTCACGCCGCCGCGCCGTCGATCGCCGACGGAGGAATTCGCGGGGTTTCGGCGTCGATTGTGTGTGCGGTGCGTTTGCAGCCAGCACCAGCAGCATGCGACGCACACAATCATGGCTGGCGCTGGCGGCGCAATATGTGAGGTTAGAATGGCGGCATTGGCGCGCGAATCATAATAGTTAGCATCAGAAGTGGGATGGAACCAAGGAAGATTTTCGCATGCTCATATTTTTTGCGATGGTATACAACGCAGCAATCATGTTCCTATGGTTGGCGACATGGCGACACAAATTATTGTAATGTTTGGATAGGAGCGTTGCCGCGTACAATATATAAAGCCGCGTACAGACCGAGATTCAAACGCAAGCATAGGCACCAGTGGTGACAGATTTGGAGGTGTTCAAATCGGTGTGTACGGCGCGAGCCAACATAAGCCAACGGTTTCCAAGGTTGGCGTTGGCGTTCAATTGTGTTCGCTCCTTGATCGGTACATCAAAGGGAGGTTTGATTTGGTCTGGACTGGATTTGTTGCGCTTCTAGTATTTAATCGTTTGTTTGCATTCGATGAGAGGAGACTGGTCGCTCGACTTAACCCAACGCGGTCCAACTCGAAACTCAATTTAGGCGTAGACGACGTGTAGACGAGCGCATTCAAATACCTTCCAACAACAAACGCCAACGTCATACGTGCTTACATTCTTCTACGTATTGATGACCCAACTATAAGCGGCGTTTATATTATGACAGGAACGGTCGTCACTGGCGCGTGAAAAAAGTACGTCTTTTGTTACATTAAAAATGGGATGTTAGTGTGGCAGTATACTGAAGGCAATTATAGATGCCCAAGTACGTCGCTTAGCTTAGGATGACCAAGGTCCCCGTTGCGGAAAATAGGAGAACGAGGGCAGAGTGTAGCCTGACATGGATTTTTAAATTTTCTTGGATTTTTAACGTTTGGAGGACATCCACAAGGGAGATTTTTACTCATCTTACAAGAGTAACAAAACCCATTGTACTGCCACTACTGTTTTATAACGCAGTGTCTGCGGATCTTACCGTACCCGAAGATATTGCGTTAACAATGGCGTGTGTTACGTTACGCTTTTAGAATTTTGGTACTTGACTATAATAACAGTAGAGGGGATGCAAAGCGCTGGAATTTTGATAATTCTGAGAACCACTCATAAGAAAAATTCATGAAGATGAAGAGTTACTTTTCATGCCGTTGCATCCACCAAAATTTGCAAACATTTAATACCTATGAGATGAGAGAATATACGAATACAAAAAACTGCATTTGAATTTATACAAAATGCAAGAACATTAAATTTTAACAAGGACTCGCTCCTGTTATGCAACAATGGCTTACGTATCATAAGAAAGTGTCAACTAATATTTTCAAACCTAAATTGATTCGTCGAAATGACAGTTTTTGGAGTACATTTCGATTCATATTCGCAAGCTTTTCCCAGTTCTACTAACCTTAGGCAGTACAAAAATCAGATTAACAAAATTTCTTTGGGATCCTCATAGCAGTCGCGGTGTCCTGGCATTTAGGCTTCTGCCCCGCGACTGCTTCGGTATATAAAAAAAACAATATTAGGAGCCAGAATGTTATCGTTGGCCTCAGCTTTTGTCTAGAAAAAATCAGTGATACGCCAATGCATTTATCTCCGATTGTTCCCCTTCCTGATTGCAACCGTTCATTAATTCTCACTGGCCCTCAGTATTTTTGAGTTGAAGTGGTCATACAAATGAAATTAGATCAAGCTACTAATCATTGAATGGATTCGTATCTTCTTGCCCATTTCCAGAAAATATTTTTTTTGAATGAAAGGTTTATTTTGCGAGGCTCTATTAGCTTATAGGACTCCATTGTCTAGACCAATCAAAGCATATGTATTCGGTTTATTGTAACACGCTTCGGCCACCACAGTGTCCTGTGAACCTACCCTACTATAATGTAGAGTTGTTTGGACATGAAAACCACAGTATAAGTTTCCGTAGTTCGATTAAATAACTTATTAGGATCCAATCGAAGGTCAGACTTTTGCCCGACATCAAAACCGATGTTCGCCCTTTAACACAACCTTCGGTCGCAACTTATGAGAAGAAAGTCATGTTTTAATGTGTCATAGTGTACCAAACCTTGTTGAAATTAGATAAAACGTAAAAATTAAGATGTCTTACATGCATATAAAAGACTCTAGATATACTAAGTGACATATAAATCCGAACACCCAGTTTAAATGGTTTTATTTTAATAAAAGTTGGTGAATGTATTTATCTTACTGTAAATAGTAGAAGTGAAAAAATTTTCAGCCTTATCAGTTGGACATTCCGGTTTTTATACTGCTTTTTTTTAATTCACTAATGCTCTAAAAATGAATATTTCAGCCGCAGTAAGGAATCAACGTTGACGGATTTTGGTTCTTGACATCCTTTACGATCGGTTACGATGCCTAGAGTACGGAGACCTGTACCATTTCGTCAACTTAGTGAGTTTGATAGGGGCCGTATAGTGGGACTTCGGGAAGCTGGACTTTCTTTTCGGGCAATTGCAGTTAGAGTGCAATGAAGTGTAGACACTGTGGTTAGGTGTTGTCAGGCATGGCTTCGAGAAGGCCGTACGCAAAGAGCAAGGGGCACTGGACGCCGCCGTAGAACAACAGACCGTGAAGATCGCCGCCTAAGACTATTGGCCTTAAGGGACCGTTTCTCCACTACCAGGTCCATTGCAAATGAATGGTTTGCAGAACACGGAAGACCTATTGGCATGCGAAGTGTTTTGGCTTGTTTTCATACCGCCACACTGGGCCCTCCCTTTAACTCGAGAACACCGACGTAATCGCCTTGAGTGGTGCAGACAACGGTCACTCTGGGATCAGGAATGGAACAGTTGTCTTTAGTGACGAGTCTCGATTTTGTTTAGGCATGCACGATGGTCGTGCCAGGGTTAGAAGGCGACGTGGTGAAAGGAGGAATCCACAGTTTTTTGTTGAAAGACATGTTCATCACACTGTTGGAGTTATGGTTTGGGGTGCTATAGCTTATGGTTCCAGGTCACCTTTAATCTTCATCAGAGGTAACATGAACGCGCAGCGTTATATCCACGAAGTTCTAGAACCCCATCTTTTACCCTATCTTGACACCCTGGCAGATCCAACTTTCCAACAAGATAATGCCCGACCACATGTTGCAAGAGTCACAATAGACTTCTTTCAACATAATGATGTCACCTTGTTACCATGGCCACCAAGATCTCCCGACTTATCCCCAATTGAGCACGTGTGGGATATGATGGGTAGGCGATTGCTCAATTTGCAACGTCCTCCTCAGACTCTAGAATCACTTCGAGAGGAGTTGGTGGTTGCCTGGAATGAGATACCACAGGAGGACATTGACCACCTGATCAGAAGCATGCCTAGGCGCGTTGGAGAATGCGTAGCACATCAGGGTGCATCCACACATTATTAAAGGTCAAAGGGCTTTAAAGCAGTGCAATCATTTTGAAATTTTTATCATTTACTTATTATGCTTCATTAAGTACTTATACAAAATTTTATTAAAATAAAACCATTTAAACTGGGTGTTCGGATTTATATGTCACTTAGTATATTTAATCTACTGGTAAGAAATACCAATTCATTTAAAGTATACCAGACAAAAAGTTTTTGAATTCGGATTATATTTGCTAATAAATCGAACATTTTTGAAATGATACACACGTAGCGTTCTGGTAAAGAAATCAGTTATATTTTCGTTGGCACTTTTTACTCAATTGAAGTAGAAATTAAAATTAGCTGCACATTGACAGGGTTAAATTGGAAACAACTGCACCAGTATTACGTAACTTAAAAAGGGACAACGACTATTTATGACATTAAGTAGGGTTTTTTCACATTATGTAGGTTTTCCTATAAAATACCACCCTTGCACTAGTTGACATTCATTTCATGCTCACTTGTAGTAGGCGAGGCTGAACTAGCGTCTCACTAGCGGCTACCTGGTACACACTTTACCGATTTTTTTCATTACATACTTTTTTACCTAATCACCCTGCCGATTTTCTGGTAGAATTTCATAACATTCAACATATAAAGTAATATTCGCCTGAAATTTCCAAGTAAACGTTGGTTTTAAAAACAAAGTAGTCATTTTAGTTTTTGCAGAATAGGTTGGAAAATTAAAGTGAAAGTAAATATGAAATTATTTTTTGACAAAACAAGAACCAGTAGGCGGAAACAAAGTTTTGAAACTAATTATGAAACTGGTGTCAATACTGTCAATAATTAAAGATCAGAGCCAAAAATAGTAGCACATCAACACCGCATAGTAAACTGACCTTCATCTTATCGTATGTTGGTCCTACAGCATTAAATATTTGACAATATGTACACTGGTACTAACTGTAAGGCTAACAGATAGAAGTACCTAATTGTTGCCATCAGAAAGGTATAGACTAAGAATCACTAGTCATATACATATGTCAATACACCTTTTGAAAGGCGTTTCAGCTGTTCCTAAACTAGATCGACTACTATTACTAATCTTTTAGTTTACGGAATTACCCCAAAATTTCTCGCATAATGTAACAAACATTACTGTCAACAAATATATAGCCATTTACTAAAATACTAAATCCGTTGCCTTCTCAGACTACCGGTAATACTTGGCATTGTGTCCCCCTCACGTCAGCCGCCTAATGACAGTCATTGGTTGTTGTTAATAATGAACTTGACATGAACTTGATTATTTTTTGAACGTGTAAAATTCGGCGATCGGCCTTGCACAAGGACGACAGACCAACCGACACACAACTCTCGATGTCGCATTGGCGTGTGTAAGGCTTCTGCTTACGGTAAACTATATGCAATGTGGACTGGTAATGCAAGCCATAACCAGCAGCAGACAAGAGGTATTGCATAAAATGTTCAAGATCATTCCGTTAACATTATTACCTGAGAGCGAATTTATAGTCTGGGACGTATTGAATTGAATTTGAATAATTTTAATTTATAGCCCAGACAAAAACAGCACAAAATATTCAAGTTTGCAAAAATTTCCACAAAGGTGAAAAATAGTACATACCTTAAATACACCGTTATGAATAATATAACAAAACTCCTCACATATATGTGGA